AAGATCGAGAGCGCATTGTTCGACAAGGTGTTCCCGCGCCCAATGCGCTGCGACATCTCGACCCTCAATGATGACCTCAAGGCCTCCTTGGCCTTGCAACGTTATGGCATTGCCAAAAATACTTGGACATGCGTGCCTGAGAAGGGGCACTTTCCCACAAGCAGTTTGACATTGACTGGGTCGGCCATGATGGTCTTGGTTCCAATCCCCCCTGCTTTGGATTTCTTTGCCGAAGAACCCGGCAACCCAAAGATTCCATTGGCAGAGGTCGCTCAGAAGTTGAAGGCCATCTCGAATGAGTCCTTTTTTGCGAAGCTTGTGCAGAAGCTCGGCCCTGACGCGAAGATCACTTACGGTACAGTGGGCAGCCATGATTTGCTTTACATCCCTCCGGGGTGGCTGTCAATCGTGTCCGTGGCCAAAGAGGATGCTTTGGGTTTGAAGCTTCGCGTGGCCATCGCAGACTTGGTTGAAACCCTGAAGGCTGTGCAAGCAAAGCTGCTTGAGCAGTCGTCCAGCAGCCCGGCGCTGGACAGCTTTGTGGCTGCTTTGACCCCGGAAGCCAGCAGTTGATACCCCCATGCGCAGCTGGCCAGCTCGTGTTTGCCACCATGGCCAGGACATATGAAAGCTAGACATTCCGCGCGCCACGCTGGGCTTGGCAAAACACCTGAAAGGGTTACTGCATCAATGTGTACGCACGTATTCATTCATGAACCTTGTCTTGCAGTGCCAGTCAGCCTTTCAAACTCTTCGAGATGTGCTGCCTGCCACACATTATAATGAACTTCGTGCCAGATCCGGCATGAAATCCACGTGCTGTATATTTTCAAAGCAGTCATCGTCTCGTATCTTATCTCCAAAATCACCCTCAACCCAATCTGAAGGTTTTCCGCAACCCTTAACCAAAATCGAGCGCCCCGCAAGAAAACGGACAAGCCCTCACAGACTGACAAAACATAGGCAAAACCAAGCAGTTATCGCCCCGTATTTTGTCTCCAAAGCACCCTAAACCCAAGAAAACGGACACGTCCTCACATACTGACGAAACATATGCAAACCAAGCAGTCGTCGCCGCGCATTTTTGCTTCCAAAAGCACCCTAAACCCAATCTGCAAGTCCTGCGCAACCCTTAGTCAAAATCGAGCGCCCCGCAAGGAAACGGACACACCCCTCACATACTGATGAAACATAGGCAAAACCAAGCAGTTATCGCCCCGTATTTTGTCTCCAAAGCACCCTAAACCCTATCTGCAAGTCCTGCGCAACCCTTAGTCAAAATCGAGCGCCCCGCAAGAAAACGGACACACCCTCACATACTGACGAAACATATGCAAAACCAAGCAGTCGTCGCCGCGTATTTTGTGTCTAACAGCACCCTAAACCCAATCTGCAGGTTTGCCGCAACCCTTAATCAAAATCGAGTGCCCCGCAAGAAAACGGACACGTCCTCACATACTCACAAAACACGTGCAAAACCAATATATCACAGAATCACTCGCTCATGTTTGGAGGACATTTTCGGAGTCTCATTGCAAGCCTTGTTTTGGGCTTCCGATGGCTTTCAGTTGCAGCGCTGCAGTTTATTCTGGAGGTTCGCTTGCCACAATTGTTTTTGGACGCAAGCTGCCAAGTCTCTATAGTACCCCGAAGTTCGCGAAGAAACACCAAAGGTTGTGAAAGGTATGCTTCTCACTGAAATCTTGATTTTCGTTTTTTTCTTTCGCTTGGCTCAAGTTTTGGCTCAACCAGTCCGTTGGGAAAGGACAGCCCTCAGTGCGAAGGGTGTTTGGAGCGTTTCTGGCTCAAATTCGGTAAACGAGCTTGCTTTGGTTGGCGATTGTGTTTTATCGCTGTTTGCAAGGCTTTGAGGCGCTCGACAAACCCAAACCACGCTGAAAAGCATCATCCTGCCAAATCGGCAACCTGCCCCCGGTATCTGTGAACTTTGCCAGTCCGCGCTTTGTGCCTGGAGTCAAACTCCCGACAAAACCAGGGGTCCGCGCAGGTCCGCGCGGGATTTGTGGTGTTTTTGCCCAACAGGACGTACCAAGAACGGGTTCCGCAGCAGGTTCCGGAGCGGGGCGGGTTCCGGAGCGGGTCCCAGAGCAGGAACATCGAAGAAGCACGCTGGCTTGAAACCCCCTTCCCCCCATACAATTAGCCTGGCGTTACAATTGTAAGAGCGACGCACGCCAAGTTTTCCTTGCAAGCAGTCGGCTAAGCTATGCAAGGTCTCTGTTCCATTATCCGCGGTATTTGATTCTTTGTGAACTTGTGTAATTCCCAAAATCCCGGAAACTAATACATGAAAGCATCATTCGATTTTCGTTTTTTCTTGTTTGGGGGGGGGGGGGGGCCGGGGCTGAAGCATCTTTAGTCTTCTTTGCTGTTGGGGCTACAGTGGGCTTATCTTTCCATTTCTGGATCTGGTGGTGGCGGGGCATCTGGAGTCCCGTTTCAATATTCAGTTCCGTTCCTGCTTCCATTTGTCGCATCAGGTCAAACTTGCGTTCTCTTCCTATTTCAATGCTGTGGCTTCAGAACTTCTGTGCCTTGCCATCTATGTAAAGTGTGAAGCCTGTTTCCTTCAGCTGCTTCGGCTCTCTTGTTCAGGGGCCATGGCAGCAGGTTCCTCAGACTGGCTTGTTTGCTGGACGAGCGCAAACGTATATGTAAGCTGCAATGGGCCCAGGCGTCACCCACGTCAATACACTCACTACAAGTCCCAAAGGGTTCTGCACAGAGGCATGGATGCTCCGGAACAGAAAAAAGACACATGCACAGTAGCAACTAGAATCCAGAACAGAAAACAGATGGAAACAAGAATGGAAGATCTACATGCTCACTGTTGCGGAAATGAACATCATAAGCCTGCCCCCTGTCACTGGCCTCCAGATCCTCCAGGGACTCCAGAGCTTCTTCCAGAAGAGTCCTCAGACGCAACCAGTAGACGAGTCAAAGGGGTTTCTGTGCTCCTCAAGGTTTGATGCTTGGAGGAGCATTGCTGTTGCTTCCTCAAGCCTGACCTGGTACGGAACAACGCAGAAGTTTGAAGTTTAAAGTCGATGCCGCCAAACACCATGCCAGTACGGGAGAAAATAGCAAGAATAATTACACTAACAACAATCGCCAGAACAGCGACAAAAATGCCAACAATTACAAGCTATCATGAAAAGGAGTACTGAGTAGGACAACAATAAGAATAACATGATAACTCAGCTCAACTCTCGCGCAAATTCACAGCCATACACCCCAGTGCCTGCAACTGCGAACCAGAATATGCTCTATGTAACCCTTATATAAACACTACAGTATTTCACGAGTAGCCTCCAAACACTTCGCGCGATCCTCCAGCAGCTCGATGTAGTTCTGGCAACGCGGCACGCGAGGACTTCAAGCCAAAGCGTGCTAACACTCCGGCCTTCTGGTCAGCGACGAGGCGTCGAAGGAAAACCACCTGGGGTCTAGAGTAGCCGCATCTCCCATATAGCCTCTAGGCCCTAAACTAAACCTTACTCACTCGACCCAAACCTTGAAACCGAAGCAGGCTCAGGGATGCCCAGCGGATCTAGCTTTAGGGCGCTATCTTGCAGATGCCCAAGAATCACGCATCGACCAGAAAAACAAACACGCCGGAAATCACCTATAGTCTAAGTTACTAACCCGTAGACCCGAAGAGTCCAACAAAAACATGTGGAGACTATAGAGCTGGCCTCAGAAGTCTTCACACGAACGTTGATCACCTGCATCTTGCCGTTGCGGGGGTTCTTGGCCACATCAAAAGTCATCTGTGCTCCCTGGATAAGGTCTTCCGGGCCACCGCCGATCACTTGCCGTACGTGTACGAAAACATCACCACCATCGGCTTTTCTGATGAAGCCGAAGCCTTTGTCAGCAACGAACTTGTGCAGGAACCCTGAGAGAGCCATGGCGCTACCCGGCTACCTCACGCCAAGGCCGGTATTATTGAATGCAGGGCTGGTCAGAAGCCGATGCACAAACGCGTTCCACAGTGCCTTGAGCCAAGATGCAAAACAGTGTCCAAGCTCACCAACAACAGTGCGAAAGCTGCACCAGCCACATTCTATCTTATGCTCCAAGATGGCACCCAAATCCTTCAAAAGTTGGCGATTGCCCCCTGCGGCCCCCTGCCAAAATCACAGGACCCAGGCTTTTCCAAGACCGACTTCGCAGCTCTGTGTCTCGGGTGGTGAAATCAGGGAAGTCGCTCGCTGCGACCTGTCACAAGTTCAACAAGATATGTCTCAAAAGCGAGGCCACAGTCAAGAACAACAAATCAAAACGTGAGTTACTCCAGGGCAAGGTTTCCTGCAAATGATGCTGGCCAACCTTCAGCTACAGTTGCAGTGGCATCTGAAAGATGCAGCCGTTTATACCCTGTAATAGTTATAACCACATTTGCAAACGCTTGCGTCGTGCATCTGGTGGAAGGCATTACAGGCTTTTCAGTAGTTCTACCTATAACTCTCAAAACCATCCTCAAAATCAGCAGCAGGAAAAACCCAACGCTGGAGGCAGCAAGAAAGAAAAGCGTGAGCACCTGCACTCTTGGATAGGCAGGCAATGACCACTCAAATGCAGTAGATGGCAAGGCGACAAAACGCACCAATTTTGTCACGTCTTGCGTGCCACAATGCGCATGTATGTACAAGCTGCGACACCGTACACACTGTGTGACTCGCCGATTTCCACGGGAGAAAATCCGGTTGCGCGGACCCACTTGCCAATGTCTGTACACACATCTACCTTGAATTGGTGGACCTTCAGTGAATCCATCAAACTGTGCAGCGTTTGGGGCATGAAGGCGTCACAAAGCAGTATCAGCCCATTGGGTTTCAGCACCTTTCGGGCCGACTCCACGAATGCAGCTGTATCCTCCATGTCTGCCACTGCTTCGACGCAAAGCAAAACATCAAACTCATCAGCGTCAAACTTGCTACGCAGTGAGGTAGCATCTGCTAGCTCGTATCGCAAGCATGGAGGAAACGGCTCATGGGCTGCAGCACATATGGCGACGTTGTCTTGCGATGGGTCCGTCGCGACGAATTTGAGAGGCGTGGCCACTTCTGCCAAATATCTGGCACCTCCCCCTCGCAGCACTGATTTGTCTCGGAGGACCTCCTCATTTACATCAAAAACGGACTCATTTATCGCGGTGGCAACATGCCAGTACAAGGTTGCTGATGCGCAGCATCTCCCTTGACGTGAGCGAACTTGCACTTGTCTCCGTAAGTGCAACGCCCACTGGCGAACAAGCGGCAAGGCTGCTTGGCCTTGTCCTGGTCCTTGCCCGCCTTACCACCCGAGCCTTTGCCCTTTCCCTTGCCCTTGCCATTCATGTCACCGCCGCCGCCTCCAGAGGCAAACTGGTCGGCAGCTGCGAAACCATGGTGTCGGGCTCGGTGAGTACCATCCTTGATCCCCACCGCGGCACAGATTCCTCTGCAGCAGGATCTGAGCCGGCCCCTTGGGGCCGCGGCAGCTGTTGATGTGCCGCCGAACGTGGAGCCGTCCGATGGTGTAGACGAGCTTTTGCCTGATCCCCTGAACTTGCCACCCGTGCCAGAGGAGTTCCAGGGGAGCCTCAACGAGCTTGTGCCCGCTTCCCTGATCTTTCCAACCGAATTGCTGGCAAGCCTCGACCAGATCTTAGCTCAACAACGGCAATTGCTTGCTGCGCTACCACCGGTTCCAGAGACTGCGCCGGTGAGCGGTCCTGCCCTGTCTGAAGTTGCAGAGGCAGATCCGGCCCGCGACCACAACCTGTCCGACACCTCAGATGCGGCAGGTGACACATCGCTGCCTAACCCCGAGGGCGCTGCCGCGAAATCTTCTAGACGAAGGGGCGAAACAAGATTACGGCAGCTGAAGCGCCCGAGGACAGCGCCCACCATGACCTGTACGCCACCCACGAGACTCCGGTGCCCGACACCGAGGTGGATCCGGACCTCGCAGATGAAGATGAATTGGTGCGACGTATGGGATTTAACCCTTCGCCTGGTGCAGCTCAGGTGGTTCGTGACCACCGCACCAAGCGCGCGAGGGAGAGGCGCTCTATTACAGTGAATGAAATGCTTGCTACTGATAGATTGAAGTGGCATGGGGTTTCTTCACGTAACTCCCCGAAGGCTAAAGCACTGGCAATGGAAGTAGAGGCTTCTAGGAAGCGCCAAGCAAATGCTGAAAGGTCTGCGGGAAGTCGACAGCCTCCTGGAGAGAGCATGGAACCCGACGAGGTCGCCCAGAGCACGCCGTTGGATTTGCCAGCGAGGCAGACCCCGGATGCGATGGAGGAAGTTGAGGTGGATGCTCTGGAGGACACCGAGGATGACCTTGCGGTGGAGGAGGAGCTCGCTGAGGAAGAGGCCAGCGCGCTCGACCTTGAGTTTGTTCCTCTGCACTCCGACGCGGAGGTGGATCCCCAGGCCCTGGAGGAGGAAAACGAGAGGGTTCGCAGAGCCGCGGCAGAGACGCGCCACCGCAGACGGCTCTTTCGAGGCTGCTCCCAGGTCATGGGAGGCGAAACAATGGGGGAAGATGCCGTGGTGACATACGGCCAGAACCACGCACCTATTCCCATATTAAGAGCAGCCCGTGGCGCCCTCGGAGCCGGTGGACCCTCCACCGGATCGCGTCCTTGCAGCGCGTGCCAGTCCACCGGTGCCAGAACCAGCCGATCCTCCGAGGCCGCGATTCAATCTGTGGCGGGAGCAAGATTGCTGACCGCGGCACAGTGGGCTGCTTGGCACAACGGTACGCACGAGCCCGACGACACCCATCCACCGGACCGTCCGAGATGAGAGTTGGGGCAATGGCAGTGGGAGGTTTCTGAGCAGCCGTCCCACAGCTGGCAGGGCTCCCGCCAGCCGAGGGCGCTCGATCCCTCCAGATCGATCTGGAGACAACCCCATCGGCAAGGAGCGGGGGCACGAGCTCGTAAACACGAGCGTAGACTCCAATATTTGCGCGAGGCGATGAGCGCGGCTCAGCAGCTCAGCAAGCCGCCGCGCACGCTGGCGAGGAGGAAGCCGAGTCCGAGGAGGAAGTCGTTGTTGAGGACGAGGCGGACCCTGGCCATATGGCGGAGATCGAGGGCGGGGAGGATTTTATACGGGACTGGAGTCCGTGGGAGGACAACCACACTGCGGACCTCCCTACGATGAAAATCCAGAGCCAGCTGGTAAGGAGGTTGGTGACGTGGCGCGGCGCCTGTTCGGGACGCTCCTTGACGAGCGAGATAGGGTAAGCCATGCTTCTTCTTCCTTTCCTAGTGCGGTTAGTGGTGTGGCTAGTATGTCCCTGAGCCCTAGATCCCAAACCTCAGGTGAATTGGCACAGGATGGCCGTGGCACTGCCACGCGAGCCGATAAAGCCGGCGATGGTCCGGAGGCGGCTCGATGGCTGAGCGTGGCCGTTGCGGGACTGTTGTTCCAACAAGGAACAGATTTGCGGCTCACCGTAGCCAGGCCGAGCTGGAGGAAACAGTATCTGCCATCGCCGAGGAATTCAGAGCAGGGTCCGTGTTGATAACACGAGCGTGCTTCGCCCTAGTTGCCTCCGTTTTGCACTGGGTGCTTATGTTGTACCCTGCGATCCGCGAAGCAGATGCTACGACTCTGCGGCCAAGAGCCCGAGTTGGGACTGAAGGTGCAGTTGTGTTTCGACCCGTGTACCGTCGTGAAGGGCTTAGGCTGGGTGATTTGACCACTTCCGAAAAACAGGAAATTACCAAGCGGGTTGAATCTTTGCTGGACAGTATTGAAGGCAGTGGGCAGGCAGGAAAGGCGATTGGGTTGAACAGTGCGGCGCGTGCTATTGTGCATCGAATAGCAGCTGGCCGTGGGTTCTCCCACGAGACCTCGGAGGATAAAAGTGAAATGCTTCTTTTTCATGCCGAGAAAGCCCCCTTGAGAGATCGTGGGCCAGCATCAACACTTGCGCTCGTAGCTGCACCTACCCCGCGTCGCCTATCTCTTTCCCTGCCGCCTAGGAGCGATCGCAGCGCTCCCGCACCCACTGGTGCGAGCCCCGCTTCAACCTCTGGTGTTGTTTCCCCAGCCACTGCAGTATCAGGCGGTACTTTGTTCGAGCTAGAGCTGCTGAGAAAGGAGAATGCGCAGCTACGCAAGGAGCTGGAGAGGTCTGAGACGAGGACAGCGGGCCTCCAGACTCAGCTCAGGGCGCAACACTCGCTTCGTCAGGCATCCCACAACAAGGTGCCTACGACTGGGTATGACGCCGGCATTGCGTCTGTCACGCTTCTCCCAGACAGCGATTGGGTTGACAAGGCTGTCGTTGACATCTCGCCGTCAGCGGGAGATGGAGGCCCAGTCGCCATTATGGCCACGGCATACACGTACGATTGTGACCAGATCACACCGGCACTATGTGCCGCGTGCCAGGCCGGTGCCAAGGTTCTCTTGCTGGTCGATGAGAAAAGCAGCAAGTCGTGTAATGACTCCCTGCCACGTTTGCAGAGCTTGAGGGAGTCCGGGTCCACGTCATTTCGGGGAAGCCGTTGTCGCTCATCTACCCCCGACAGACCGGTTGGTCTGGAGCGTTACACGCAAAAACGCTCTTAGTGGACCGTGGCCCGACCACGTGTGTGTATGCCGGGTCGCACAATTATACCCGCGCTAGCAGGTGTAATTTTGAAATGGTCATGCGCTACGAGACCTCAGAAGCCGAGGGAGATCCTCGCGTAGAGACCTACAAGGCTTGGTTCTCTGACTTGTGGGATCGTTCTATCCCCGCGAAGTTGGACTTCGAGCCGAGGCGTAGGCATCGCGAGAAGGGGCCGCCCAAAGGCCAAGACCGCCCATCCTCGACTTGATCTGAGAGCGCATTATGAGCAGGTGGTAGCCCGAGGGTTAGCCTGTCCAGATTTCGACGTTTGCACGGAATCGGGGATCCATGTCTCCTAAAATCCGGGGCTGCTGGAAGCGCCTGTGTTTGTGTGATAGAGACATGTCCCCTCGCTTCGCGCGTTGTCTGTAGGTTGCATTTTGCAGCAAGCATCATTGAAGCATGTGACGCGGTGACGTAGCAATTGCACGTCGTTTGCTCTTGCTTTTGTACAGCTCGACTGCAGCTGTGGACACTCAAAGGTTGTAGACCTCGAACGTAGGTCATAGCTCAAAGCAGTTTGCTTAGCCGAGCTATTAGCCGAAAGCAACAAACCCGCCATAGTGCCTGTTAACGTACTGCAGCTGCGCAGCAGGTTGCGAGCTCTTGAGTACGATCCAATTGGGATCGGTTGCACTGTGATCCGGGACTTGCAAGCGAAGCAAGGAAACAATCGGCTGACCGAGTGGCTGCGCTAGGCCAAGGAACCCAAGTAGTCTGCTTTGGAGTTTCCCCCGGGTCCACTGGACCTTCTTTTAGTAGTAGTAGTAGTAGTAGTAGTAGTAGTAGTAGTAGTAGTAGTAGTAGTAGTAGTAGTAGTAGTAGTAGTAGCAGTAGTAGTAGTAGGAGTAGTAGTAGTAGTAGCAGTAGTAGTAGTAGTAGTAGTAGTAGTAGTAGTAGAAGTAGAAGTAGAAGTAGAAGTAGAAGTAGTAGTAGTAGTAGTAGTAGTAGTAGTAGTAGTAGTAGTAGTAGTAGTAGTAGTAGTAGTAGTAGTAGTAGTAGTAGAGCAGCAGCAGCAGTAGTAGTGGTAGAAGTATCCGGAGGTCGTTTTTCATCGGTACATTTTTTACCGACACTTACTTCTAAGCCTCACGAGCGTCGAAGTGGCTGAATTAGCGACATGTCTGAGGATCGATGAAGAGGGAGATGGAGAGAACAAGAGTCAGACTGGGGAAAGGAAATCAGGAATCCAACGGGCATTCGCTTGTCGCTGCCCACAAGGCCTTTTGCCAGGATCGAGCGCAGCAGAAATAAGCGTTGCCCAAACATGATTGGGATGGTTTAATCTCATACTGCCAACCAAACCGGCCACATCGCCTCTAAAGAAATCACGGAGATGGGATATTCGACTCACTGTCTGAATGGGATGTCCAGCTGCTTCGAACACTTTCACAACGTAAGTTTTCAACTTACGGGTCATACGTGACATGGGCATCCTCATCGGTACAAAAACAGTGTTTCTGGCAACAATGCTCATTTCTGAACCACGCCGGGCGTTTCGGGTTTCAAGGCCCAAGGCCGGCAACCAAGAATCCTAAAGCCCAAAGTCGCAAAAGGCATGTAACATGTTACAGCGCATCTGGTTGCAGAAACATCAAAAACACTCTCACAATATATTCTATAAACGGCAAACACGCTGAACATTCCAGTGTTGTGGGCATGTTGGCAAAAGGCTTGTGATAGTGCATCTTGTTCCAGAAACGTCAAATATCCTGGCGCAGCATGTTGTATAAAGGAGCAACAACGCTGTAAAAACCGGTGTTTTGGACTGACATGGTCGCAGCCAACCCCCCTCCCACACCCCCTCTCCCCAAGCCAAGCCAAGCCAGAGCCGACTTTAGACAAGGCCCTCATACTGAAATGCAAGGCCCTCATAGGAAATGCAAGGGTAGCCCGAGAGAAGTCTATGTGAAAAAGCATATTAAGGAAGGTTTGTCAAAAACGTCGACATCGGAAAATGCAACACATGCAAGCGCAAAAACACTGCCAATACTAACTGGCATTTCCAGACTTGGCAGACTCGAAGCGCAAAACAGGAACTCCTGTCGCCGTTGGCAGTGGAACATAGCACTTCCATGCACAAGCAGAAAACACTGTAAATAATGGTGTTTTCGGCTGTTGGGAGAAGGTCGGAAGGTGTGGAAAACACACGTCAAATAGGAAACGTATGGGCCGTAGTGGTAGTGGTGGTGGTGGTGGTAGTGGCAGTGGCAGTGGCAGTGGCAGTGGCAGTGGTAGTGGTAGTAGTTGTAGTTGTAGTTGTAGTGGTAGTGGTAGTTGTAGTAGCAGTAGTAGTAGTAGTAGTAGTAGTAGTAGTAGTAGTAGTAGTAGTAGTAGTAGAAGTAGTAGTAGTAGTAGTAGTAGTAGTAGTAGTAGCCAGCGGCGCTTTAACCGTACACACTTTTTAACACACTTTTAACCCTTCTTGTCACCTTCTGAGTGTGCACAGCTTCTTCTTGCACACTTCTTCCGTTTCAGGGTACACTGTCTTGCTTCTGCCTCCAAATTCTTTTCGCTGGAGTTTTGGGCTCCAGTTAGCATGGAGACGCCGCCGCGACGGGCCCGGCATGTCGAGGTGAGCCCTCGCACTGATAACGTCCGTGTTGCCAGTCCGTGCGAGTGGCCAGAGCATCCATGCCCGCACGATGATAGCGTCCGTGTTACCAGTCCGTGCGAGTGGCCAGAGCATCCATGCCCGCACGATGATAACGTCCGTGTTACCAGTCCGTGAGAGTGGCCAGAGCATCCATGCCCGCGCGATGATAACGTCCGTGTTACCAGTCCGTGCGAGTGGCCAGAGCATCCATGCCCGCGCGATGATGACGTCCGTGTTACCAGTCCGTGCGAGTGGCCAGAGCATCCATGCCCGCACCATGATAACGTCCGTGTTACCAGTCCGTGCGAGTGGCCAGAGCATCCACGCCCGCGCGATGATAACGTCCGTGTTACCAGTCCGTGCGAGTGGCCAGAGCATCCATGCCCGCACGATGATAACGTCCGTGTTACCAGTCCGTGCGAGTGGCCAGAGCATCCATGCCCGCACGATGATAACGTCCGTGTTACCAGTCCGTGCGAGTGGCCAGAGCATCCATGCCCGCACGATGATAACGTTCGTGTTACCAGTCCGTGCGAGTAGCCAGAGCATCCATGCCCGCACGATGATAACGTCCGTGTTACCAGTCCGTGGGAGTGGCCAGAGCATCCATGCCCGCACGATGATAACGTCCGTGTTACCAGTCCGTGCGAGTGGCCAGAGCATCCATGCCCGCACGATGATAACGTCCGTGTCACCAGTCCGTGCGAGTGGCCAGAGCATCCATGCCCGCACGATGATAACGTCCGTGTTACCAGTCCGTGGGAGTGGCCAGAGCATCCATGCCCGCACGATGATAACGTCCGTGTTACCAGTCCGTGCGAGTGGCCAGAGCATCCATGCCCGCACGATGATAACGTCCGTGCGAGTGGCCAGAGCATCCATGCCCGCACGATGATAACGTCCGTGTTACCAGTCCGCGCGAGTGGCCAGAGCATCCATGCCCGCACGATGATAACGTCCGTGTTACCAGTCCGTGCGAGTGGCCAGAGCATCCATGCCCGCACGATGATAACGTCCGTGTTGCCAGTCCGTGGGAGTGGCCAGAGCTTGAACGAACATATGCCGCAGAACTTGACAGCCGCCAAGCGGAAGGTCCTTCTTACGTACGTGCGTAGCTTTCAGTGGCGTCAGCGGCACGCTCGCCTTGACTTGCTGTTGCAAAGCACAGGCCGTCGCCTCCAGAAGATGCGTGCCTGACAGCTGGCATTGTTTGCGTGTGAAAACCCATGCGTTTGCACGTTTCAGCCTTAAACGGAGACATGTTTTTTAACCAACAAAACAGAGCTGCCGCCTCGGCGAAACGCGTGTTTTATAGACAACAAGGGTACAGTTTGCGCGCCGCCGGGTAGTAGTAGTAGTAGTAGTAGTAGTAGTAGTAGTAGTAGTAGTAGTAGTAGTAGTAGTAGTAGTAGTAGTAGTAGTAGTGAGAGTAGTAGTAGTAGTAGTAGTAGTAGTAGTAGTAGTAGTAGTAGTAGTAGTAGTAGTAGTAGTAGTAGTAGTAGTAGTAGTAGTAGTAGTATAGTAGTAGTAGTAGTAGTAGTAGTAGTAGTAGTAGTAGTAGTAGTAGTAGTAGTAGTAGTAGTAGTAGTAGCAGTAGCAGTAGCAGTAGCAGTAGTAGCAGTAGTAGTAGTAGTAGTAGTAGTAGTAGTAGTAGTAGTAGTAGTAGTAACAGCAGCAGCACTAGTAGTAGTAGGAGGAGGAAGAGGAACAATGGTAGTCATCGTGATCATGATAGAACTCGTAATCGTAATTGTAGTGGCAACAGTATTGGTAATGGTGTTACTTGTGGTGGCCGCGATGATGATCGCGGTGGTCTCTTCAACAGCCAGCTGCTGCTAGTTGAGCATCGGAGTTAGTCCGATACTGCTGCGCATTTTGCGGTGTCGCATTTCCACCTCATAGGCTGCTAGGAGTTGTGTGCGCTTGCCTCCGAAATCTTGATTCTCGAGGGTTATTGCAGTGCACGTGTTGCGATTTGACACTACCTACCGACGTCACTACGTCTGCACACTACCAAGAATATGTGAATGTGTTGCCATTTGTTGGCTCGGATACTGACTTTGATGCACAACGTGCAGGTTTGCGTGCGCTTTCCCGGCAACGAATATTTTGAGACGTGATTGTGCAATGCACGGCACCCACCCGGCGCCATTTGCAGCAGTCTATAGGGATGTACAACACAGGATCCTGACGGGTGCCCACTTCTTGCCATCTTTTGCCAAAACGGCAAACTAGGAGCATCATGTAGCTGACTGCACATGGACCATGACGGACCACCTGTAGGTTGGCTTGGGCTTCCTGGCGCTTGGCCCTTCGCTGCTCCAGCTCCTCCCCGAGCAGCCAGTCAACTTGCTTTCGTGCGAAACACAAAAGGTTGAACATGTTTGAACCAGTGTGCACCTGCACAACAGTGTGTTCAAACGACAGCAGCCTTCCGGCTCACTGTGGTTTCTTGACATCTCATGATCAAAATGGCCTGAAAGCAGAATATCTGGGAACTACAATAATATTAGAGCTGCCCAAGAACCTCTCGCCATGCGTAACTCCTACGCCACCAGGCTGTCCTGATGCAACTAGCTATCGAATTTCATTAGGCCTCCGAGAATGACCAAACCGTTTGTTATCGTTTGTTTACGGCCTCCCTCCCACCACGCCGCTTTTCCGAGCCAAATCTGGCTTGAGAAGTCGTGGCAACTTGAGCCAGCGGGTTATGGCTATGGGAAAATCCCGGCTTCCCCGGCCGCGCCTTTCACAGGCACCACGTCTGTGAGTACAGTAGGCCCCACAACTGGCTTCATTCTGTCTTTCTTTCTTTCGGAGGGTATGGAGGCCGAAGCCTCCGGGCGTCATCGCCCGCCCCTGTTTCCGGAGCGGTGCTTCATTCTGTCTTCTTCTTCTCTCTTCTTTGTTCGTCTCTCTTTCGTTCTTTCTTTCTTTCTTTCTTTCTTGGGGGCGTGGGGGCGAACCCCCTGGCTGCGCGCATTCGGGACCCCTCGGTTGATCACGGGAACCGCGGTTTCGGGCGTGGCGCTTGGTTCGTCTCTCTCTCGCTCTCTCTCTCTCTCTCTCTCTCTCTCTTCCTTCCTTCCTGTGCACGTAGCCCCAGAGAGGCTGCCTCGAAGGGCGTGCTCAACCGGGTCCGTTTGTGCTAGAATTGCACCGTTTCGGGCATCAGCAAACCACCCAACCTATATCAACCAACATCACCCTCTCTCTCTCTCTCTTCTGATTTCTCTTTCTCTTTGGTCTTGTCCGTCATGCTGCTTCTTCTTCTTCTTCCCCTCGTCATGCTGCTCTCTCTCTCTCTCTCTCTCGCCCTCCTCCTTTCTTTCTTTTCTTTCTTTGTGGTTTCCCTCCCGGGCTGGGTTCGGCAGCCTCAAAAGCATCCTGAATACGCATTTTCCAGAAGAAAAAACGCTATATGCCAAGGCAAGTGCTTCTTGCGGTAAATGTGACTCAGAACAGCAAGCATGCAAACAGAGAGCCGACCTCTATTCTGTGAAAAGATGAGTCCTGAATCTAGAAAAATTATTACGCTAATATGCGAAGTAAACTCGCTCCAAACTGAACTAATTGGGTCTGTCCCTGGGCGTCGAGACGACTCTGTGCTCAGCCGCCTAAAGCATAGTCTCACCCCAAACTCCCACCCTTGAAGTCCAGCAGCTTCATCTCAGGAGGCTTGCCATCGAAGACGTAGACGGGCTTGATCCCATTCCTTGGCCCCAGTTCTGGGTTGGGGTTGGGGTTCAAGGTTCGAAAGTTCCGGGCGAGCCTCAGTGGCGGAGTTGCCCAACACATGCTGTGTGACCTACCCTTCCTGGCTGAGACGCGTTGCGCTACGTAATGCAGTCTAAGCCTGTGGCTCCATCAATCGAATCGTGCGTGTGAGCATCCCAATGATGTGAGATGTGACCTGCAAAAGTGACAGTACGCCATGTGCACAGCATCAGCATCAGCACTTTCAACTGCGGTCCTGCCCCTCCTCGTTTGTGAGGTTGTTATACCTGATAAAAGTTACTAGACAACGGTCTCAGGGAAAGCAACGGTGTCCTATGCATCTTGTGCGGAGTTCAGACACGTTTCGGATTCATGTGTGCATCATTGGCAGCGGCGCACGTTCCCGTTCTGTTCTCTCTGATCATGATCAGAAACTGGTAGAGGCACCTTACCGCAAGCGCTGCGAAGGCTTGACTTTGGCTTGACACAAGCTGGCAAATGTGGTGGCAATGTGGTGGGAATGCTGTGGCCATGCTGTGCAGCCCGGCATGCTGGCATCGATCGCCACCAGTCGACCGGTGTAGGCAGCCTTCCATCTCATGCTAGCTTCAACTTCACCAGCATCAATAGCTTCCCGAGTTGTCCGCCTGGCCGGGTTGCTCCTTGACCGCCTTCGGGGCCGAATCTTGGAGGAACTTCATGAGGCCTTGACTTGCCACGACAGTGTCGCAACTGGACGACGTGCAGACGTGAGCTGATGCTGAGATTACTTTCCCCCTGCCTTTGATACCCATGGCTTCCGCTTCTCCACTTTCCCGAAACGATCGAAGGAGGGCTGCAAGATGCTTCGAGGATCTCTGAGCCAGGACTGCACTGCACAGCGATTGAGCAGTGTGTTCAATTGTGTTCAAAGGTTCAATTGTGTTCTTGTGTAGTTATGTACTAATTGAAAAGCATTGCTTGAACTTCAAGTCAGGCACCGCTGAGAAGAACTATAATGAGCCAACGGGCCAACTTCTGGGGTGCACCATGGAGCACCTTTCGGTCGTTCAGCTGTTTGGACTGAATCTCGAAGGACCGTCGTGCCATGTACCTACTGCAAAAAGGACCGCAAGCTGCAAGCATAAAACTTGTCATCCACGAGACTCCACAAGCAGCGCGCAATTTGGGCAGGAAGCTCTGCAAGTCAGTGTAGTTGAAGTCCTGCCTTTGGGCTTTTTATGGCTTTCTCAGTAACATCGCACACAATGATTGCCACATGCTCTGCTGGGAGCAGCGCGTCTGTTTCTTGAACTTGTTGGCGCCCAGGAACCCACCCTCAGCCGCACGAAGCTTTGCTTGCTTAGATTATAGAACTAGTTGGACCAGGATCTCCTCAGCGGGTGCGTGGTCGAAGCCCAGGAAAGAACCATGCACTAACAGCTAACATGAAGATACACATTGATGTGACCCAATGCATGCCCGCCAAATCCAAGCGTCTGTCGACAAGGCGCCATCAATCTTACAATCACGTCCAGAAAGGCAGCCCGCCTCTCGTGCTTCGTACTTGGCTTTCGCCCGCGAGTCTCCAACAATCAGATCTATACCTGGCTACAATACTGCGCTTCAATGCGACCGTGTTCACATGCATTATTTTTGCATTGCTAAGCTGTCAATCGCAATTTCAATGGACAGTGGCACTTCCATCCGCCCACGCTGAGTCAGCATCAGTCAGCATCGCAGCCTGCGTGTGATTCATGTCTCCAGTAATGAAAAGCTGGAATGGACTTGGAAGATGGCTCAGGCTCTAACCGACGCAGCTAGACCAGGCACAAGAGCAGCCACTGCCTGTTGTCGTGGCCAGTCAGCCCCGCTGAAGCCCCCCTGTGTCTAGCGACAGAATGCGACAGATCACAGCCTCTCTCCGGGATGGAGGCGCTGAGCTCCTGCCAAGAGCCCAACACGCTGCAACGGCCCGACCGTGTCCGACCAACCCCACCTACAACCAAGCGGAAACCACGAACACAGACACTGGCCCCGAACAAAGCAGGGCTTTCCACACAATGGGCAGCATGCTGAATCATTCTTGAGGTCCAACAGGTGGAATTGCAGACTGCAACCGGGCTGGAACGCCGGCAACTTGCTTTCGTGGATTTCTGGCTGCTCATCCGACCCTTCGTTGGCAAAGACTAAACTCAAGCGTGCAAACAGGCGGCGACTGGGAGTATTTGACTGTTTGAATACACCCTGAATACGGCTCTTCAATTACTTCAAGTATTCAGCTAGCAACTTGTACTAACGACCCCGTGTACCTGGTCTCGGAGAAGCTGGTACTTCGTAAGCCTGCGACGGCCGATGCATGATGCGGGAACGGAGCAACCGCCAAATCCCGCACCTGCCCAAAGAAGAACAGCGGAAGCCAGCGCGCATGCCTCAAGTGATAGAGCACACTGGCAGCTTGAATCTAAAAGCTATCAGTCTAACTTGCTGTGCGCCATCCAGTGCATGAAAACCCGCAATGTGCGCTGTTCCGTCACTGCAAGAGTTGCAATTCTTGCAAGCCGCCGAAGACCCCCTCTGGCTCCAGCCCGCTGCCGAGGCTCCCCAGAGGCATTCAATACGGCAGGACCATGTTGCCGCACAAAAGCTGCGGGCTAAAGGAAAAAAGTTACTGTTTCCCTTTCTTTTTTGGTAGGACTACGCATGCTCTCAGGGCCAAGGGAGCCCCTCCACTGAGCAGATGGCAGCTGATAGCGCAGGCGTCGACCTCCTCGGCAGTAGGTTGCAAGCACCCCACAGGGCGCAAGCTTCAGACATACGATCCAGCACACATATATATGCACATGTGCCCAGTCATGCTTCAGACCCCCGACTCCTCGGCCTATCGGCATGGGCACAGCCTTGCCTGAGAACACGTTCGGTGCGCCCAGATCCCAACATCATCCTTTTCATATCCATCCGAGCTACAGGGCTCGCCGTCGACCACGCAAGGGGGCCATGCTGCCTTCAGGGGGGCTCCATGCAATGAAGTGTACATCCAAATCTACCTAGCAATTCCAAGCAGCCTTGTCCAGCTGTACTTTTAAGCTTAAGCTGCCGAGGTCATTGAGTCGAAGAGCCCAAATGATGAGGGCAGGACGCAGCAAGGTGCTTATTGGAAGTTCCAGATCAAACTGAGATGTGCACTGGCTAGTTATGCCCGAGCTTGACTGCGCTTATGATTGCACTCACAGCACGCCAGATGGTGCAAGGAGAATCCAGTACACAGGAGTCTTCTTTTCACGGCTAAGCATAACACAACTGCTAGGTGCAAATGATGCGCAGACAGACCTCTCAGGGCAGTGCTTCTGCACTTGCAGATGCCGCTACTTCTGATCACTAGTGCATGCGCAAGTTGCAAAGCCAGCGTTGTAAGAGTGCCATTGCAGCAATGCTTTGTTCGGCACCATGCTGCTTAGCCGGCCTAACCTAACCCTACCTACAGGGGCGCTACAGGTTTTTGAGAACGTTGTCGACCAAAGTGTCGTCCGGTTTCGCATCACCGGCTGGATCCTCCTCAGAGGCTGCGACAAACAACTCCTTCACCTCCATGTCGTCCACGACCATGGCGTGCCTCTTGCATCGGGGGTTGCCCAGAGCGGACATGGGGCCCGGGTGTGTGAGCTCAAGGCCAATCTCTTTGGTGAGCAGAGAGGCGCTGTCACCATAGAAAGACAACATCGAACCATCGATTTTCTGGTCTTTGGCCCACGCATCCATCACGGCACAGTCGTTCACGCAGTAGACAATCACATCAGAGACGCCCTTGGCCTTCAGCTCAGCTTGCTTGGCCAAATAGCCAGGGACCTGCTTGGAAGATCAGGTGGGGGTGAAAGCGCCCGGCAGGCCCACCATCACTACCTTCTTGCCACCGATGATTTCCTGGAGCGGGATCTTCTTCGGCGGGAAACCCTTATCAAGGGTCACGTTGGGGAGCTTCATGCCCTTGGCAATTGTCTTCCCCGCATTGCTTGCTGCACTGTTCCCCATGCTCGCCAAGAACTAGTGGGAAACCTACGCCTCACAACGATCCGAAACAGCTGCAGCTTGGGCGGCTCTCCACATGTCTATGTAGGCAGTTCCACTTGTACTGGGTTCTCGAGCCTAGTGGTCGTTTGGAATCCATTGGAATCCATACTCAGGTTCAGCTTTTGTCCCGCAAATCGAGCTCACTGCGCTTCGCAGCCGCAGCCCAGAAAGCAAAGGACCTTCATGGTCCTTCCGCAGCAACCGTGGCCTGATACTGTACAAATGGCATCCCTCGCCACAGGTCGCATCTCGCGCTTGCACATCCCAGGCGAGCATCATGTAGGATCCCGGGAAAATACAATCCAACATTTTAAGCTCAAAGGGCAAGCGCAGACGGGCATGCGACTGTTGAAACGATCTGGGGCGCCGCGGATCCCTGCCCAACGGTCTTACCGATGCTTGGCCAGGAGCGGTGGCGCTTCGGAACTGCTTCCCAGAGTTGAAATGCTGCTCACTGAAAAGATATGCTACAAAACAAGAAGAAATTTTGCCATGAGCCGCAACGTGCATGCGCGTGAGCACGCGCATTCAACTTGGGCAAACAGGGCGCGCCCTGTTTGAGCGGTCTGGATTCTGCAGGCGTGTCTCATGTGGTCTTTGGCCAGCTGGCCGGTCTCCCTGCCACCTTGTCACTTCAATGAACCACCAGCTAGAATTATCTGCCGCTGCGGTCCCCTCTTTGGAGCCATGTAGCCGGTGCAAGACATGGTGCTTCAGAAACATCTAAATCAGTAAGGGTGGCGCTTCCGAGCCATTGGCATTCGCCGCTCCAACTCAGGCATACTTTCGGTACCTCTGTTTGCAGTGTGGCTGCTACTCGTACTGTCAGATCAATGCACTTTCGAACTGCAGGTGGCCATTTCTGCAACTCCTCCACGGCAAAGAACCTGTGTCGACGTGTGCAAGGTGCGCAAGCAACGTGTTGAGGAGGATCTGTACCCTTTGAATGTGGAACGCCCTGCATGCAGTCCGGCAATCCGCCTTTGACAAATGACAATATATCTGGGGGCATGACATCAGCACAGTGTGTCCTCCACACCTGCACACTTTTACTGCTGACAGGTAGGCTGACTCAAGCTTTCTGAGCAATATGTCTCGCTCGACGAATAAGTCGCGCTCCTCAGGCAGTATGGCATGAAACCGTTGTAGAGAGCAGCTGCGCCCTCTTTACCTGCGCTCAGAGGCAAACATACGTAGGGCTTCAGTTTGTTGTCGGATCTGGACGATCTCAAAAACACAGCATGTTGTAATTGTAATTTGTATGATATGATACGACAGGCGAAGTGCTCAGGCCGCTGTAGCGTTTCGGCCTGCGACTGCCTGGATGGTTTGCATTGTGCCACGGTACCTGCCATGTAAGTGCACAGGATCCGGGCGCCTGGCGGCTTCTTTGAACCCGCTGCAGGCCCCTAAGGCGAACTCTGACCTTGCCTCCGCCATCCGACCCCGGTTTGTATTCAGATTCCGTATGCAATGAAGAAAGCCATGGCAAAATCTTCGACAGGCACACGGAAGCTTGCCCGTTTCTGGGTCTGGCTTTTGCGAAGCCATGCGATTCTTCGCGGACTGGCAGCACATGCGGCAGCACATGATGCATTCAGACAACTTGGGACAAGGTTGTCAGCACATGTCTCGCAGACAAGCGTAGGCAACTGCGGAAACGTGAGCAACTGCATCCACACTGTTTCAACTGAAAAGAGAAGGAGCTTGGTGTTGAGAACGGCAGCTGAAGTATGTATATTCTGTCTGATCTTTGGCCAACAACTTCGCGTGACTGCCTGCTCACAAACTTCACACAAGCAATGCCCGTTGCTGCGGCACGTTTCCCAATTCCCCACCTTCGGTGTGGGGTTGTTAGATTTTAAACTCAACTCTCGCCCAGACTCCTGGAGTGCCCAACCCCAGAGTCTCCACAGTCTCCCTGGAGTGCCTGTCGCCACAGAGACTCTCTGAAGTGGAGTGCCCAATCCCAGACACCTGGAGACGCTGGAGTGCCCAACCCCAGAAATTCCCTGCCCAACCCCAGAGACTCCCTCAGAGACTCCCTGGAGTGCCCAACCCCAGAGACTCCCTAGAGTGCCCAATTCCAGAGACTCCTTGAGTGCCCAGCCCCAGAGACTCCCTGAGTGCCCAACCCTAATTGCAAGCAAAAACTAAGAAAGCGTATTTGGATCAATGTGTCTTTGTTTGAACATCTTCTTTGCGCTTTTTCCTTTTCACGAGGAGCAAGGTGGGGATAGGGAACGTGTTGAACGAAACGAATCGAAACGACATAGCGGCCGGTTCAGATCTGAATCTCCCAGGCCCTAGAGACCAAGTCCAAAAAGATCATCGATTCTTTAATGGCAACAGCTACCGGCTACCGATCTAGCCGGCAATACGAAACCCGACATTGAAGAAAACACACAACCAGCGCATACCAGCGCCATCCTGGACCAGCAATCGTGAGAACGGCCGATATCGAGCAAACCCAAACCCTGCAAATATGAACAATTGATTTCACTTTGCAGATGCCAAAGCAGTAACCTCACAAGACATCGCCATAGTACAAGTTCTGATAGGTCCACCTCAAAAGGCATGGTAATGATGGAGTAGACCTCGGTGCATAGACTCACGGCTTGTGTATACTAACAGCGCAGTACAAAGCTAAACCCTCAACCCTCGTGACAGCCCCCGAACTAGCAAGTCTAGTACCATCGGCGACACAGGCAATGAATGGAGACCCAGTTAACCAGTTAAGCCTCGAGTTGAAGCTAATCTTCAAGTCGGGCTGGATGGGGGCTAAGGAATGTATTTTATAGGGCGATAGGGTTCAAGCTCTATCGTTCCATCGGACATCGGACACGAAAGCTTGCTGCAGCACTGTCAACCATTCCCGTTCGGCACCGCACCAGGCCAGCAGTGAAGGAGGAAGCGACCACATTGGAGCTTCCCTTCGCCAAGCCAAGGAGTTCCAGCGTATGCTTCTCAAGTACATCCCCTGGAACCTGTAAAGGTGCTATTCGTAGATTTTGATGTGGATGGAACCCCCCGTGCCTTGATTCCAAAGCTGCCGTAGATGGTCTTGAACTGGTCATATGTTGCAACCTGCGCCGGCGCTGCCCACCTTTTCACACCTCCCCCTGCTATGGCAACATCCGAGGTGGCAGTCTCACTGGCAACTAACATTTAGTAATTTAGTTTAGGAGGATGAGACGATGAGCATGATGAGCATGAGCATGCTGAGCCCTCCCCTCTTAAGACACAATTTTCCGCGGTTTGGCCGCGCTGTGAGAGAAATTTCAGGAAGTCCAGCGCATCTGTGAGCTCCCTGGGGAGGCGCGACTTGACCAGCAGCCTTTTACCTGCAGGCGTTGTGTGCGTGGTGCCCGGTCTTCTTGAAATTCCCACATGCCCCATGGGCATCGGCACACAAACCGGAAGCCTCCACACAGCATTTGATGTTCACACGATGAGCAGGACTCAGACACCAAGCGCTGTGAAAGGCCTTCCAAGTCCAAGAATTCCAGGCGCCGGCAGTGCAGGAACATGCGAGAGCACCAGGAATCGGAAATGTCACCGCCTGACACCGAGCCGTGGTTGACGACTAGAGTGAGCATTCTTGGAACCCTTTGCAAACACTGCTTTTGGCTGATGTGCCGTAACAGCACACTTTTGCAGAACATGGGACTGGCTTGGCCTGGCCGGTACAGTTTGTCGCCCACGAGTGGTTGACCAATGCTTGCTAAGTGCACACGGATCTGGTGCTTCCGGCCTCAGGGGCAGCAAAGAAGAGAAGCTACACTGAAGCTACGCAACACCAGTGCTATGCTACACCAAAGGGTTCTTGAACATCTTGACCTCTTAAAATCTTTAAAGCCGAGGTATCCCCCAGCTGCTGAGTCGAACCAAGGCGCCAGTCATGATTCGGACCTGGCAAGGATCCACTGAAGCGGGGTCACAAACCTTTGGAACTTTAGGTCCCATGATGTCCCATGCACCCAACTCGTTTTTGGGTGGTTGAGCAAAGGCAGCTAAGGCAGCTAAGGTTCCTGGGCCAGAAAAGTTCCGATTCGCCGAGTGAGGAGAGAACGGGGGGTTGGGGAGATGAATTTCTTGTTTCTAGGACACTTCGGAGCCTTGAGAATCGGAACAAACCTCTGCATCTTGCATGCTATGCTGCAGGCCTCCAGCCGAGAGGTCGCATGTTAGCATTTGTAACATTTGATACAAAACGGGCATCCATACCCAAACGTCTTGATGGGGCACAACTGAGGGGTATCACCAATCCCAAGTTCGGATTGTCAAGATCCCACCTTGAGCAGGTTCATCGATGGCATTGTGCCGTCAGGATCTGGCTGGCCATCCGGATCTCGGAAACTAGCCATGACGGTGAAGATGGTCCTCACGCATGTCGTTGCTTTCTGTGTCGTCTCATGGCAAAGTCTTCGTGGGTGATCCCCTTATGCTGGATTCAAAATGAGCTGAAAGGGCTCCTGGCCGGACGGCCCATAGTCGAGACTTCTTGTTGGCGGGGGTGTCCCGGCACAGGTCTCAGAGGGGTTGCCACTTCTCCAGTAAAGCCAACTTCCATGGCCTGACCCGCACAAAGGCAAACATAGGACTTGGATACAAGCCGCGCGGCCCACTGGGCTCTCAGCCAACTTGTGGCCGGTGAGGTCGCATGCCCTAAACAAACAGGAAGGATGCCAGAGGTCGGCTTGTCCAGGCGGGAGGTGGATGACACCCGAAGGTCCAGATGTGTACCCACGTGTTCCAGTGCATCTTCTGTCGTTAGGCCTGCAGGTTTGTCCACCACGAGCACACCACGGCCGAACGCGAGAATGTTCAGACTGAGAGAATTGGGAAGCTTTCCAAGCTTTCCCATTTCTAGCGGGCTTTGACCGTTTTGAGCGTCTGCGCGAAGCCAGACCTGCCTCAGGCGATCCGCGAAAAGTAGCGCCTTTCTGCGGCCCTCAGCCCTGTGCACCATGGAAAGGACGGTACCTGCTTGCGTCCCATCGGGGTTCGCAGCAGACAAGACCCCGCAGGAGATCTGCTCTGCAAACAGGGCCATGACCAACTGCCAGCGGATCTCTTCCGCCTTGGAAGGGACATGCAGGTGCAAAGAAAGAGGCAGTCCCCTACGCACCGTCTAGACTATGTTATGTAAATTCATGTAAATTCCAAGCCTATAGTCTAGGCCTTTCAGCGTCAAGCGTCGCAGGAGCTGATCGCAGCAGTGTACGTAACCTCCTCGGCATTCAGGTAATAGAGGTGACATTCAGGCAATAGAGGTGACTCAAGAAGTGACTCAAGAGGCACAAACTTGCAATCACGGCTCCGTCCTTTGCAATCTGCGTCGGTCAAAGTCACTGAGGAAGCGAAGCGCCTCGCGCAAAATGCCGCTTTCCTTGCTAGCCTGTATGAACCCGTCTTCTTTCGATGCAAAGCATTGTGGTCCAAGAACGTGGAAGATCGTGGAAGGCATTTGAAGACAGTCAAAACTAGCAGCCCCCACCATCTGCCACTTCCTGCCCTCCGCGGATGCGGTGATAACGGAGTTCATCAGGATCTCGTCAACCTCCACAGCAGCACCTCAACTCAACTCCACAAAGGTCATTGGGACGCGATGGGATTCATGGACATGTCGGGCACCGTGAGATTGCACTGCAACACAGTTTGGCCGGCTTAGCCCGGCGCTTTCTGCAGCGAAGAGTTGCAATGCTTGCTCCCACTCACCCATGCCAACACAAGCGGTGACCGCGGCACTCAGGGCTTCCAGGCACAACTGGATGCGCACCTTCAGATGGAACATGATTGAACACTGCAACCCTGAAACCCAAAAATCCTAAGCCCCCCCCCCCACCCAAAGACGTATGATCGCAGTGGAGACAAGTACAAGACGTGCATTGGAAGAGTATGCAAGAAGCCTAACATGGAGAGCCCTTCAATCTCAAGAAACAAACCCTATTCCCGGTACTATTCCCTGTACGTCCTTCTCGCTAAGCCGGGATCCCTAACATCTTATTCCCTAAATCTTATCCTATTCTCGGGATCCCTAAATCTTATTCCCCAAGTCTTGTTTCCTTACTGTCGTTCCCTAAATCCTATTCCCTAGGCTCTAACGAGGGGGGTCCTCAAATCCTAACGAGAGTAGCCCTTAAATCCTAAAAGCGAATCTTGTTCCTATCTTATTCCCCGACTCATATTGCACACGCGATGAGGCAGATGATCCTTAGTTCCTGTAGAGGAGAGCCTCTAAATCCTTCAATCTGAACCCTATTACCTCATCCTGGTCGCCAAAAGAGCGGGATCCCCAAATCGCATATCCTAAGCCTGATCCTCTTAATCCCTAGATCTTGGGTCGAACGCCTTCGTTTGCCCCGCCCAGGTGTCCCTCATCGCCATGTGGGCTCAGCCGTGCCCAGCGTTTTTTCTTAAGGGTTTAGCTTCGTGCCTGTAGACTTTCGGGTTTAGGGTCTAGGGTTCGTACCTGTACCTCGCCATTGCCCAACCATGATTACGTCCATGCTACCAGTGCATGCACTTGTCAGAACACCTTCGCACAGCCACGAATTCTGTCTGTTTGGCCCTGCAGGCTTGGAAAGTGTGTTTTCCTCGAGTTTTTGCACCGTTTGTCAATGCACATCACCATGATTACGTCCATGCTACCAGTGTGTCCACTTGCCAGAGCACCATTGCCCAACCATGATTACGTCCTTGCTACCAGTGCGTCCACTTGCCAGAGCACCATTGCCCAACCATGATTACGTCCATGCTACCAGTACATCCACTTGCCAGAGCACCATTGCCCAACCCTGATTACGTCCAATATAAAAGAGCTCTTCAACCGCAAGGACTTTCTTCTGCCGGGGTAAAAAGCAGTTCTGCCTGCAAATGCACAACATTTCCGCGCAGAAATGTCGGGCTTTCTGGGTTTGCACGCTTGAACTGGACGCGAAAATAACTCGGGTTTTTGCTGCTGTCTGCTTGGTATTCCCGTGCTTCGACGACACCATGTTCAACTGGAAAAGACGATTTCATCGCCCCTGCCATGCTTTTCAACAACTGACCCGACAAGAAGCGGGGCAAACGATGGTGGTCTACCCTAAATCTTGTTCCCTACATCTTCTTACTAAATCTTTGTCCTTAAGCTCCATTCCCTAGACCGTAATCCTAAATCCTGCTCGTTTAGGATTTAGTGAATAAGATTTAGGCCCGGACTCGGGCAAAAGTGGCAGCTTCCGAGAATGATCACGCAATTTTTGCTTGCACAAATGGCCATCCTCATTTTCGGATTCGAGGCTCGAAATCTTCTTCCCTAAATCTTGCTCCCCAAATCCTCTTCCTAAATCCTATGTGTTTAGGATTTAAGACTTCAGCCCCGTGAGGGGCACTAGCAACTGCTCTTCAGGATTCAAGAGTCACTAGATTCAGAGAGTGGGATTTGGCGACTAAGAGTGGGATCCCCCCCCCAATTTAGAGCTTGGACACTACGATTCAGCCATGAGAGTTTAAGGACCCACCCCTTTAGGAATAGCACAAACTCTTCTCTTCAGCCTTTAGGATTTAGGGAAAGATCCTTCTCCCTAGTAGATCCCTTTCGCTGAATTCTGAAGAGCAGGAATCCCTATTCGTTTACCATGGTTTAGGATTTAGCGAATGAGATCGAAGCTCCGTGGCAGGCACTAAAACCTCTCCTCTTGAGGATTTAGGGACGAAGGATCTCCCCGCTTTAGGGTCTGGCCAACAATATTATTTGAGGATTATGGTGAGAGGTGAGGGGGACGTGCTACCCCAGTTTAGGGAAAAACTACACTAGGGCTTAGAATGACAGAGCTCGAATTGAATCGGCCGACAAATTTCAATCGGGTGCGTGCGGACTCCCTCCGTCTGTAGTAAATTCAAACATGCGGCATAAAGCAAAGGATATACAACTACAACCACATACAATATATACAGTGAATGGAACACTATACACTTGATGTGAGTGTAATCTTGAACCACCTTCCCCCCCTCCCCCCCCCAACAAAAAAACCAAAACAACTGTATAAGAGGCCAAAATAGGCAGATAACTGGGCAGGGGGGGGAGGTCCAAAGATATA